CCACGAGTCTGCTCTGTGCAGAATACATCCACGAGTCTGCTCTGTGGCAGAATACATCCACCAGTCTGCTCTGTGGCGAATACATCCACGAACCTGCTCTGTGGCAGAATACATCCACGAGTCTGCTCTGTGGCAGAATACATCCACCAGTCTGCTCTGTGGCACAGAATACATCCACGAACCTGCTCTGTGGCAGAATACATCCACGAACCTGCTCTGTGGCAGAATACATCCACGAACCTGCTCTGTGGCAGAATACATCCACGAACCTGCTCTGTGGCAGAATACATCCACGAGTCTGCTCTGTGGCAGAATACATCCACGAACCTGCTCTGTGGCAGAATACATCCACGAGTCTGCTCTGTGGCAGAATACATCCACCAACCTGCTCTGTGGCAGAATACATCCACGAACCTGCTCTGTGGCAGAATACATCCACCAACCTGCTCTGTGGCAGAATACATCCACCAATCTGCTCTGTGGCAGAATTAGGGTTGGGAACCGAAACTCGGTTCCAGATGAGAACCGATAAGAAAATGCCGGGTACCGGGTACCCATACAAAATACACAATTTCGGTTCTGCTTAACGGTTCCTAAACGCGGTAGACCCTGTATTCCAGCGGGTCCGTCTGCACCGCGGTGCTGCGGTGACCCGGTGGAATACAGGGCGGACCTGGAGAATCACAGAACGGCCGGTCGTCAGCGGGGCCGTTGACGGCCGGCACCGCCCTTCATTTTTTTAAACGGCATCATATAAATTGCGCTGACAGGCGACAGAGGTCCACAATTGCCCCGCAGCGATGCTCCCCCGCCCTCCCGTAGACATTTCACGAGCTCAGTCACTTCATAACACCAAGATAGGTCGCGGTAAACACTCTGAGTGAGGCTCCACTACACTAAAAAATAAAATAAAAGGCAAAGTGTAATGCCTGTTAATAGCTTGCCACAGGCATAGCTCAGTTAAAATAAAGCACAGCTATTGTGCAATACATTTGTATTGCATGTATATTTTTTAGTAACAATTTCAGTTAAAGCTTTTAAGAATAAATATATTTTTGTTATCTAAACGTTTGACCTCTTTATTTTACAATTTTGGAATCGAAACGGGGAATCGATAAGAACCGGAATCGATAAGCAGAACCGGAATCGAAATCGGAATCGATAAATTTCAAACGATACCCATCCCTAGGCAGAATACATCCACCAACCTGCTCTGTGGCAGAATACATCCACCAACCTGCTCTGTGGCAGTATACATCCACCAACCTGCTCTGTGGCAGAATACATCCACCAACCTGCTCTGTGGCAGAATACATCCACCAATCTGCTCTGTGGCAGAATACATCCACCAACCTGCTCTGTGGCAGAATACATCCACCAACCTGCTCTGTGGCAGAATACATCCACCAACCTGCTCTGTGGCAGAATACATCCACCAACCTGCTCTGTGGCAGAATACATCCACCAACCTGCTCTGTGGCAGAATACATCCACGAGTCTGCTCTGTGGCAGAATACAACCACCAACCTGCTCTGTGGCAGAATACATCCACGAGTCTGCTCTGTGGCAGAATACATCCACGAACCTGCTCTGTGGCAGAATACATCCACCAACCTGCTCTGTGGCAGAATACATCCACCAACCTGCTCTGTGGCAGAATACATCCACCAACCTGCTCTGTGGCAGAATACATCCACAACCTGCTCTGTGGCAGAATACATCCACGTGCTCTGTGGCAGAATACATCCACCAACCTGCTCTGTGGCAGAATACATCCACGAGTCTGCTCTGTGGCAGAATACAACCACCAACCTGCTCTGTGGCAGAATACATCCACGAGTCTGCTCTGTGGCAGAATACATCCACCAACCTGCTCTGTGGCAGAATACATCCACGAACCTGCTCTGTGGCAGAATACATCCACGAGTCTGCTCTGTGGCAGAATACATCCACCAACCTGCTCTGTGGCAGAATACATCCACCAACCTGCTCTGTGGCAGAATACATCCACCAACCTGCTCTGTGGCAGAATACATCCACGAGTCTGCTCTGTGGCAGAATACAACCACCAACCTGCTCTGTGGCAGAATACATCCACGAGTCTGCTCTGTGCAGAATACATCCACCAACCTGCTCTGTGGCAGAATACATCCACCTGCTCTGTGGCAGTACATCCACGAACCTGCTCTGTGGCAGAATACATCCACCAACCTGCTCTGTGGCAGAATACATCCACCAACCTGCTCTGTGGCAGAATACATCCACCAACCTGCTCTGTGGCAGAATACATCCACCAACCTGCTCTGTGGCAGAATACATCCACGAACCTGCTCTGTGGCAGAATACATCCACGAACCTGCTCTGTGGCAGAATACATCCACCAACCTGCTCTGTGGCAGAATACATCCACGAACCTGCTCTGTGGCAGAATACATCCAACCTGCTCTGTGGCAGAATACATCCACGAACCTGCTCTGTGGCAGAATACATCCACGAGTCTGCTCTGTGGCAGAATACATCCACCAACCTGCTCTGTGGCAGAATACATCCACGAACCTGCCTGTGGCCAGAATACATCCACGAACCTGCTCTGTGGCAGAATACATCCACCAACCTGCTCTGTGGCAGAATACATCCACGAGTCTGCTCTGTGCAGAATACATCCACGAATGACTCTGTGGCAGAATACAATCACGAGTCTGCTCTGTGGCCAGAATACATCCACCAACCTGCTCTGTGGCAGAATACATCCACCAACCTGCTCTGTGGCAGATACATCCACCAACCTGCTCTGTGGCAGAATACATCCACAACCTGCTCTGTGGCAGTAATACATCCACCGAACCTGCTCTGTGGCAGAATACATCCACGAACCTGCTCTGTGGCAGAATACATCCACCAACCTGCTCTGTGGCAAGGAATACATCCACCAACCTGCTCATGTGGCAGAATACATCCACCAACCTGCTCTGTGGCAGAATACATCCACGAAACCTGCTCTGTGGCAGATACATCCACCAACCTGCTCTGTGGCAGAATACATCCACCAACCTGCTCTGTGGCAGAATACATCCACCAACCTGCTCTGTGGCAGAATACATCCACCAACCTGCTCTGTGGCAGAATACATCCACCAACCTGCTCTGTGGCAGAATACATCCACGAACCTGCTCTGTGGCAGAATACATCCACGAACCTGCTCTGTGGCAGTATACATCCCACCAACCTGCTCTGTGGCAGAATACATCCACCGAACCTGCTCTGTGGCAGAATACATCCACCAACCTGCTCTGTGGCAGAATACATCCACGAAACCTGCTCTGTGGCAGAATACATCCACCAACCTGCTCTGTGGCAGAATACATCCACCAATCTGCTCTGTGGCAGTATACATCCACCAACCTGCTCTGTGGCAGAATACATCCACGAACCTGCTCTGTGGCAGTATACATCCACCAACCTGCTCTGTGGCAGTATACATCCACCAACCTGCTCTGTGGCAGTATACATCCACGAACCTGCTCTGTGGCAGAATACATCCACGAACCTGCTCTGTGGCAGAATACATCCACGAACCTGCTCTGTGGCAGAATAATCCACGAACAATCAAAACATCCACGAACCTGCTCTGTGGCAGTATACATCCACGAACCTGCTCTGTGGCAGAATACATCCACGAACCTGCTCTGTGGCAGAATACATCCACGAACCTGCTCTGTGGCAGAATACATCCACGAACCTGCTCTGTGGCAGAATACATCCACGAACCTGCTCTGTGGCAGAATACATTCGCATGTTGCCCCTTTCACTCCAGGGCCGGTTCTGAGCTTTTTGCACCATATCTACCTTCACAAATACAGCTGGTAACAGAACAAGTGTTTGAATGCATTTCAGGTTTATGATATCGCTGCCCCGTCTAAAACACGATCTGACTTTCATTACATTTGACTCGAGTGTTTCGTCAACTTAATGTGTTGCTTAAAATAATCCTTCTGCATCCAGTCTGTGACACTGTGAGTGTTGCACGGCCAGATACGGCTCAGCTGACTCAGATCAGGAGATATATGATACATTATGAAGTGATATGCCGCGGACTGTACTTAATGTGACTCTGATCCGGTTACTTATGTTGTGGCAGATATTTCAGTAAGCTTTCTTAACGCTAATGTTATAATAGTCAGATTGCTCTGAAGATGGAGGTGATATTCTATTCATGTTCACGTTCACACAGTCGCTGATTTTTGCCGGCCGTCTTTCCTGCAACGGCAGCTTTTCTGTATTTCCTTTCTCCTGTAATATGACTTGATCGCTTTAAACTCCGCACACTGAGCTCTGATTGGTCAGCAGGCGGTGCTTTCACTGAGTTGAGTTCTTAGCCTGCAACCTAACCTGCTCCGGACCAGGTTAGCCGCTCAGCATCAGTTATCATGGAGATCTAGCCCGCTAAGAAGAGAACCAGCGTCGTAGGACCGGAAACCCAGAGTTACCCTGAAGTTAGCCGCTAAGAGAAAATCCGGCTTCGTAGTACAGGCCTCTGATGAGCTCAGAGGAGATCGACAGTTGTTATAACAGGTGTGTAATAACACTTGTGTAATAACATGGACTTGTTAATATGTGTTAGCGGAGGTGCTAACTGCTCTTCTGATCTGGATCAACTGGTTTTACAGAACTGTGTTTTACAGGGACATTTGAACTCATGGGAGCGTGATGATTTACTTTCAGCTAATATATAACATAATGTACGTTAATGTAACTTTCAAAAGCGTTAGCTTCTTTAGCATTAGTTCTGTTAGCATTAGGTTAGCTGTTAGTTCTGTTAGCATTATTTCTGTTAGCTGATAGCTCTGTTAGCATTAGCTCTGTTAGCATTAGCTCTGTTAGCTGTTAGTTCTGTTAGCTGATAGCTCTGTTAGCATTAGCTCTGTTAGCTGTTAGTTCTGTTAGCTGATAGCTCTGTGTTTTCTTATTTGCATATTAATGTATTCCAATGATTTCTGCAGACACGATCGCCAACAAGCTGCACATGCAGAAGGTCTCAGACTTCACGCTCTCTCCTGGGGGGGCGCCCAGCAAGGTGAGGGGGGGGGCAGGTTATTATTCATCATCATCATCTCAGTAAACAGTCTTATATCTAACGCCCCCCCCCCCCCCCGACAGGTGTGTGTTTACGTCCCGGGCAGTAAGGGCGCCCCCTCCTTTGTGAGGCTGTATCAGTACCCTCAGCTCGGGGGGCCGGGGGCCGCACTCGCTAACAAGAGCTTCTTCAAGGCCGACAGGGTCAGCATGACGTGGAACAACAAGGGTACTATTATTATTATTTATTACTATTATTGTTATTACTATTGTTGTTGTGTTGTTGTTAAGATAAGAAGTACTTTATTGATCTCAATTTGGGAAATGTTTGATTGTTGTCGTTGTTAATGTTATATAAAGTAAACAACCCCCTCCCCCTCAGCGTTGGCGGTGCTGGTGACAGCGAGCACGGAGGTGGATAAGAGCGGAGCCTCGTACTACGGCGAGCAGACTCTCCACTTCCTGTCTGTGAGCGGGGGGACAGCACTGGTGCAGCTGCGTCAGTACATCTTCTGATTATATTACACACTCACCTGAGCACTCACCTGAGCACTCGCCTCAGCACTCACCTCAGCACTCACCTCAGCACTCACCTGAGCACTCACCTGAGCACTCACCTGAACACTCACCTGAACACTCACCTCAGCACTCACCTGAACACTCACCTCAGCACTCACCTCAGCACTCACCTGAGCACTCACCTGAACACTCACCTGAGCACTCACCTGAGCACTCACCTCAGCACTCACCTGAACACTCACCTCAGCACTCACCTGAAGACTCACCTGAGCACTCACCTGAGCACTCACCTGAACACTCACCTCAGCACTCACCTGAACACTCACCTGAGCACTCACCTGAACACTCGCCTCAGCACTCGCCTGAGCACTCACCTGAACACTCACCTGAACACTCACCTCAGCACTCACCTGAGCACTCACCTGAGCACTCACCTGAGCACTCACCTGAGCACTCACCTGAACACTCACCTCAGCACTCACCTGAGCACTCACCTGAGCACTCACCTCTCACCTGAACACTCACCTGAACACTCACCTGAACACTCACCTGAGCACTCACCTGAGCACTCACCTGAGGACTCACCTGAGTACTCACCTGAACACTCACCTGAGCACTCACCTCTCACCTGAACACTCACCTGAACACTCACCTGAACACTCACCTGAGCACTCACCTGACGACTCACCTGAGCACTCACCTGAGCACTCACCTGAGGACTCACCTGAGCACTCACCTGAAGACTCACCTGAACACTCACCTGAACACTCACCTGAGCACTCACCTGAACACTCACCTGAGCACTCACCTGAGCACTCACCTGAGGACTCACCTGTCTGCTTCTCTTCCTGTCCACAGAGAAGAACGGGCCCATCTACGACGTCTCGTGGTCTCCCAGCTCTTCTGAGTTCTGTGTTGTTTACGGCTTCATGCCGGCCAAAGCCACCGTCTACAACCTGAAGTGTGACCCTCTGTTCGACTTCGGGACGGGACCGCGCAACGCCGCCTACTACAGGTGAGACACGCCCACTACAGATGAGACACGCCTCCTACATGTGAGAGATGCCGCCTCCTACAGGTGAGACACGCCTCCTGCAGGCGAGACACGCCTCCTGCAGGCGAGACACGCCTCCTGCAGGCGAGACAGGCCTCCTAAAGGCGAGACACGCCTCCTAAAGGCGAGACACGCCTCCTAAAGGCGAGACAGGCCTCCTAAAGGCGAGACACGCCTCCTAAAGGCGAGACAGGCCTCCTACAGGTGAGACAGGCCTCCTACAGGTGAGACAGGCCTCCTAAAGGTGAGACAGGCCTCCTACAGGTGAGACAGGCCTCCTAAAGGCGAGACACGCCTCCTAAAGGCGAGACAGGCCTCCTAAAGGCGAGACACGCCTCCTAAAGGCGAGACAGGCCTCCTAAAGGCGAGACAGGCCTCCTAAAGTTGAGACAGGCCTCCTACAGGTGAGACAGGCCTCCTAAAGGTGAGACAGGCCTCCTGCAGGCGAGACAGGCCTCCTAAAGGTGAGACAGGCCTCCTACAGGTGAGACAGGCCTCCTACAGGTGAGACAGGCCTCCTAAAGGTGAGACAGGCCTCCTAAAGGTCTTTTTTTACTTTGATTTTGACGGGAATGATGGCGCCAGCAGTGTGCACGGCGAGACGTCTCCCAGGCCTGTTCGGCCTTTTATTAGTTCTAGTAGTTTTATTGTTTTGTGTTTTTTGTCAAAATGTCTCTGCTCTACTAGTTTACGACCGCCAGTCGCTTATGGAAATCAAAGCATTTCAGGAGGGGGTATTAGAGCAATGTTTAGGAGAGCCAACCTCGAATCCTCCTCCTCCACTTCTTTTAAGCATACCGACATACCTGCGCCGCCAGGTATATGCCATCCCCCAGGCTAATTTTCCCAGGCGGATACGCAGGGATGGCGTGGATCACAGACACCTTCGCCCACTGGATTTTACTCAAAAACCGGGAAGAGAGGAGCTTACTCTCCGCCTGGCACTCATCAATGCTAGATCGCTAGCTAACAAGACTTTCCTGCTTAATGACTTTTTTAAATCCCAGGATTTGGACTTTATGTTTCTGACGGAGACGTGAATTCGTGCTGGTGAGTTAACAGCTTTTTCGGAACTTCTACCACCTGACTGTTCATTCATCAGCACCCCGCGGACCACCGGTAGAGGTGGAGGGCTGGCGTCGGTCTTTAAATCCAGCTTTAACTGCCGTCAAACTCCGTCGAACAGCTTCTCCAGCTTTGAGCTGCAACTTTTCAAACTACACTTAACACTTCCAGTGCTCTTTGCTTTGATCTATCGCCCTCCGAAGTTCAATAAGGATTTTATTCAGGAATTCTCAGACTTTGTAGCAGGGGTTATCTTGAACTTTGATCGATTTTTAATTATTGGCGATTTTAATATTCATGTGTGCTGTGATTCCCGACCGCTCGTCAAAGATTTTATGAATCTCATTGACTCTTTTAATCTTACACAGTCGGTTAATGGCCGACACATGAGAAGGGACACACACTGGACCTTGTGTTGTCTCATGGTTTAGATGTTTGTATCAGGGACATTTGTGACACTGGTATTTCGGACCATTTGCCTGTGTTATTTTCTATGATGCTGCCTTGCTCTCAAGTTTACTCGTGCGTTCCGGAGCGACGCCTACGTGCGCTGAATCCTCTGACAGCGTCACAGTTTTCCGTTGCCTTTAATGACTCTGTGCTTTCCACGTTAAATGACTCTTGTGATGCCAGTGCTGAGGAGACTCTCAGCCTTTTTAATTCTACTTGCACGGATATTCTGGACCTGATCGCTCCATTCACGGCCAGACACCCTAAACCTGTGACTGAACCGTGGTTAACTGACTCTACCCGCGCCCTGAGACGCGCATGTAGACGAGCAGAGAGGAGATGGAAGAAGGATACACTTCACGTCTCCTTGGGGATTCTAAGAGACGGTTTAAGCGAATATCAGAGGGCTGTTAAATGTACAAAAACTCATTTTATTTCAAATCTTGTGTCCAAAAACAGAAATAGGCCCCAGTTGCTTTTTACCACTCTTAATTGTCTTTTAAATCCCTGTAACTCTCCCTGTGTTGTGCCATCACCTACTCTATGTGAAAAGTTCCTTTCATTTTTTAATGATAAAGTCTGGGCCCTCAGATCTTCACCTCCTCCTCTCACCTTAGACCCAGCAGTGTCTCCTGTGTGCTCAGCTGTCTTCGAGCAGTTTGACCTGGTTTCACTGTCCGAGTTATCTGATGTGGTTAAACAATATCTCTCTCACCTCAGGCTACGTTCCAACCTTTTTTAAACACGCTGTAGTGCAGCCTCTTATCAAAAAACAGAACCTTGATCATTCTGTTCTCTCCAGTTTTAGATTAGATTAGATTAGATTACTTTATTGTCATTACAAAAACGCAAGCACAGTGTAACGAAATTTAAGGATGGTCTAACCAGAGTGCAAAACAGTCAGTTACATACACAATTATCAGAAGTATGTACCAAAAAAATGATACAAACATAAAGGTAAATAGATGGGAAATGTATAAATAGGAATAAATACACAGATAATAATAAATACAGTGAATACAGAATTGCGCTTCAGCACAGCACACGACAACAACTAGGCAGTATGGGACAGCGTGGGGTTCATTGTCAGCAGTCTGACTGCTGAAGGGAAGAAGCTGTGCGTAGTCCTGTTGGTTCTACCCGGGAGGCTGCGGGAGCGCATCCCAGAGCGGGTGCCACGTAGGGGGATAAACAGTGTATGGTTGGGGTGGGAAGAGTCTCTGATGATGTTTCGTGCCCTTCGCAGGCACCGCTTTTCATAGACTGAGGCTATGGAGGGGAGTGGCATCTTGATGATGCGTTGTGCGATCTTCACCACCCTCTGCAGTGATTTCTTGTCCTTGACCGTGCAGTTACCGTACCATACTGATATGCAGGTGGAGAGGATGCTCTCGATGGTGCAACGGTAGAAGTTCATTTGCACCTGGGAGGATAGGCGGAGTTTTGCCAGATTCCTCAGGAAGAAGATGCGCTTGTGAGCCTTCTTGACTAGGGCTGAGGTGTTGGTGGTCCAGGAGAGGTCCTCCGAGATGTGGACTCCCAGGAACTTGAAGCTGGTGACCCGCTCAACCTCTTCTCCACTAAGATGGACTGGGGAGTGCGTGCCGTCTTTGTTCCTTCTGAAGTCCACAATGACCTCTTTCGTCTTCTTGGTGTTGAGAGCCAGGTTGTTGTTAGCGCACCACTCTGCCAGATGCTCAACCTCTTCCCTGTATGCCGTCTCGTCATTGTTGCTGACAAGCCCGACCACTGTGGTGTCGTCTGCAAACTTAACGATGGTGTTTGAGCCATGTACAGGTTTGCAGTCATGTGTGAAGAGGGAATATAGGAGGGGACTTAACACACAGCCCTGTGGGAGACCAGTGCTAAGGATGAGATTCGAGGATGTGAGCTTGCCTATTCTAACATGCTGGGGTCTGTTTGTGAGAAAGTCCAGTATCCAGTTGCAGAGGGAGGGGTCGATGCCAAGGTCACTGAGCTTGGTAATCAGTTTTGAAGGAATGATGGTGTTGAATGCCGAGCTAAAGTCAATGAACAGGAATCGTACGTATGTGTTGCTCTGATCCAGATGGTAGAGGGCAGGGTGTAGTGCTGTGGAGATGGCGTCATCCGTACTCCTGTTCCGACGATAGGCAAACTGGTAGGGGTCAAGTGTGGGTGGGAGGCATGATTTAAGCCGAGCCAGGACCAGCCTCTCGAAACACTTCATGATGGTCGATGTAAGTGCCACAGGTCGGTAGTCATTAAGGCTTGTTGGAGAGGCGTGCTTGGGAACAGGCACAATGGAGGTGTATTTGAAGCACGTGGGGACTTTTCCTTGGGCCAAGGACAGGTTAAAGATGTCAGTTTAGACCTATTTCTAAGCTTCCCTTCCTGTCTAAAGTCCTAGAGAAAGTGCTTTTTAGCACAACTGCAGTCACACCTTGTTTTAAACTGCATATCAGAGAAGTTTCAGTCTGGTTTTAAATCACGCCACAGAACGGAAACTGCTCTTCTAAGAGTTTTGAATGATCTTCTTTTAACTGCTGATTCTGGGAATTCTGCTGGGCTTGTGCTTTTAGATTTGTCTGCTGCTTTTGACACCATTGACCACCAAATTATTTTATCACGCCTTGAACTGTGTGTTGGTATTAAAGGTTACGTCCTAAAATGGTTTCAATCCTATCTGTCAGAAAGGACCTTTTCTGTGCATCTTGGCCAGTATTATTCAGCTGCAGCCCCACTAGCATATGGGGTCCCACAAGGCTCTATCCTAGGCCCCATTTAGTTCTATTTACTACCTCTGAGGTCAATTTTTAAAAAGCATAACATTTCTTACCATTGCTTTGCAGATGATCTGCAGGTATACCTGCCTAAAGCAAATAAGGAATCTGGGATTGCCTTGCTTAGCTGTCTGAAAGACATACAATCATGGATGGAAATCAACTTCTTGACTCTTAACGAAAACAAGACAGAGATTATAATATTTGGACAGTCTGAACTCCTGGATGGCTTTAATAGTGTGCTCGGCCCCTTAGCCTCCTACAGCCGTCCCTCTGTCAGAAATCTTGGAGTCATCTTTGACAACTGTTTTAAATTTGATAAACAGATAAGCTCAGTTGTCAAGACAAGCTTCTTCCATCTGCGGCTTCTGGGGAAGGTAAAAGCCTATCTTCCTAGTAAGGAATTTGAACAGCTAATCCACTTATTTATAACGTCTCGTTTAGACTATTGTAACTCCCTCTATATTGGTGTTGATAAGTGTTTGATCCGTCGCCTGCAGCTGGTCCAAAATGCGGCTGCCCGCCTTCTTACTGGGAAGAGACGTTATGACCACATCACACCCGTTTTGGCAGACCTTCATTGGCTTCCTGTCAGTTACAGGATCCAGTTCAAGTACTTACTTGTTGTTTTTAAATCATTGCATGGACTGGCCCCACATTACCTGTCTGAGTTGTGCTCCAGCTAGAGCACTGCGCTCAGCTCAGCAGAATATGTTGGTGGTTCCTCGGAGCAGGAAAATAACCAGAGGTGACAGGGCTCTCAGTGTTGCAGCTCCCAGACTGTGGAACAGCCTCCCAGCACATATCCGGACTGCTGAGTCTATTGAACTTTTTAAATCCCAGCTAAAAACTCACCTCTTTGCACTGGCTTTTCATACTAGTTGAACATTACATTTTTATATTTGTATGTGTTTTTTATTTATTATATGTTTCTAGTTATTGTGCTTTTTATTGTGTTTTTAATTATTGTTTTATTATTGTTCTCCCATTGTGTTATTTAATATAGTAGTTACTGCCTGTACAGCACTTTGGTCAACTGAAGGTTGTTTTAAATGTGCTATATAAATAAATAAAGATTGAGATAGATAAAGGTGAGACAGGCCTCCTACAGGTGAGACAGGCCTCCTACAGGTGAGACACGCCTCCTAAAGGTGAGACAGGCCTCCTACAGGTGAGACAGGCCTCCTACAGGTGAGACAGGCTTCCTACAGGTGAGACACACCTTCTACAGGTGAGACAGGCCTCCTACAGGTGAGACAGGCCTCCTACAGCTGAGACAGGCCTCCTACAGGTGAGACACGCCTTCTACAGGTGTGACACGCCTCCTAAAGGTGAGACAGGCCTCCTACAGCTGAGACACGTCTCCTAAAGGTGAGACAGGCCTCCTACAGGTGAGACAGGCCTCCTACAGGTGAGACACGCCTCCTACAGGTGAGACACACCTTCTACAGGTGTGACATGCCTCCTAAAGGTGAGACAGGCCTCCTACAGGTGAGACAGGCCTCCTACAGGTGAGACACGCCTTCTACAGGTGTGACACGCCTTCTACAGGTGTGACACGCCTCCTAAAGGTGAGACAGGCCTCCTAAAGGTGAGACAGGCCTCCAACAGCTGAGACCCGCCTCCTACGGGTGAGACACGCCCACTACGGGTGAGAAACGCCTCCTACAGGTGAGACATGCCTCCTACAGGTGAGACACGCCCACTACGGGTGAGAAACGCCTCCTACAGGTGAAACACGCCTCCTACAGGTGAGACACGCCCACTACGGGTGAGAAACGCCTCCTACAGGTGAGACACGGCCGCTACAGGTGAGACACGCCCACTACGGGTGAGACACGCCCACTATGGGTGAGAAACGCCTCCTACAGGTGAGACACGGCCACTACGGGTGAGAAACGCCTCCTACATGTGAGACACGGCCACTACAGGTGAGACACGCCCACTACGGGTGAGAAACGCCCACTACGGGTGAGAAACACCTCCTACAGGTGAAACACGCCTCCTACAGGTGAGACACGGCCACTATGGGTGAGAGACGCCTCCTACAGATGAAACACGCCTCCTACAGATGAGACACACCCACTATGGGTGAGACCCGCCCACCTGGTCTCACCTGTGTTTTAGTCCTCAGGCTCTCACCTGGTCTCACCTGTGTTTGAGTCCTCAGGCTCTCACCTGGTCTCACCTGTGTTTGAGTCCTCAGCCTCTCACCTGGTCTCACCTGTGTTTCAGTCCTCAGGCTCTCACCTGGTCTCACCTGTGTTTGAGTCCTCAGGCTCTCACCTGGTCTCACCTGTGTTTGAGTCCTCAGGCTCTCACCTGGTCTCACCTGTGTTTGAGTCCTCAGCCTCTCACCTGGTCTCACCTGTGTTTCAGTCCTCAGGCTCTCACCTGGTCTCACCTGTGTTTCAGTCCTCAGGCTCTCACCTGGTCTCACCTGTGTTTGAGTCCTCAGCCTCTCACCTGGTCTCACCTGTGTTTCAGTCCTCAGGCTCTCACCTGGTCTCACATGTGTTTGAGTCCTCAGCCTCTCACCTGGTCTCACCTGTGTTTGAGTCCTCAGCGTCTCACCTGTGTTTGAGTCCTCAGGCTCTCACCTGGTCTCACCTGTGTTTGAGTCCTCAGGCTCTCACCTGGTCTCACCTGTGTTTGAGTCCTCAGCCTCTCACCTGGTCTCACCTGTGTTTCAGTCCTCAGGCTCTCATCTGGTCTCACCTGGTCTCACCTGTGTTTGAGTCCTCAGCCTCTCACCTGGTCTCACCTGTGTTTCAGTCCTCAGCCTCTCACCTGGTCTCACCTGTGTTTCAGTCCTCAGGCTCTCACCTGGTCTCACCTGTGTTTCAGTCCTCAGGCTCTCACCTGGTCTCACCTGTGTTTGAGTCCTCAGCGTCTCACCTGGTCTCACCTGTGTTTCAGTCCTCAGGCTCTCACCTGGTCTCACCTGTGTTTGAGTCCTCAGGCTCTCACCTGGTCTCACCTGGTCTCACCTGTGTTTGAGTCCTCAGCCTCTCACCTGGTCTCACCTGTGTTTCAGTCCTCAGCCTCTCACCTGGTCTCACCTGTGTTTCAGTCCTCAGGCTCTCACCTGGTCTCACCTGTGTTTGAGTCCTCAGGCTCTCACCTTGTCTCACCTGTGTTTGAGTCCTCAGGCTCTCACCTGGTCTCACCTGGTCTCACCTGTGTTTGAGTCCTGTAGGAGCAAACACAATAGTGGTGGCTTAAAGCCCACCTCTGCTCCGCGCCGTCCGTTAGATGAGCCTCGTCAGATTTAATAAAAGAAGGAGTTCAAAACACCGGCATAAAAGTTATAACAATAATCTGATTTTAATACAGTAAAAAACACAATAGGAAATACAGAGTGCCCTGAAACAGAGCACTCCGGGCTCCCCGCTCCACTGCCGTGCGATACAGATATCGGGACCAGCCAATCAGAAACAGGGGGCATTTTGCATGAAGAAACAACAGTATATATGGACATATTTGGGGCGGAGAGTCACTTCTTATCTTCCACCGGACCCAACTCCTTTAATTTCTCAAGAAAGATTTCACACAAACTATTCTTTCCCAAACAATCAAACATTGTACACAGATATATTGGTATCAAACATTGTACACAGATATTGGTATCAAACATTGTACACAGATATATTGGTATCAAACATTGTACACAGATATATTGGTGCTTGGGATTATATTGGCCCCAGAAAGAACCTTGAAAAAGAACATGTGTGTGTGTTAGTGAGGGGAAGTGTATGTGTGTGTGTGTGTGTGTGCTGATAAGCGGATGCGTATGTGTGTGTGTTGCTGATATCTGGGTCAAGGAGTTTATGTGTGTGTGTTGGAGACAGGAGGTGTATGTGTGTGTGTTGGTGATATCTGCCTTATGGAGTGTAGGTAAGAAGGTTTATATATATATATAGGATTACTTCAAAAACAGTCCCAAATAATACATGTTCACTTCAATACAGTTCAAGGTAATACCTGTTTACTTTAATACAGTTTAGAACAATATCTGGGTGCTTTAGTCCTCAGCCTCTCACCTGGTCTCACCTGTGTTTCAGCCCTCAGGGTCACATCCTGATCCTCGCTGGCTTCGGGAACCTTCGGGGTCAGATGGAGGTCTGGGACGTGAAGAAGTACAAACAGGTGAGGAAGACCCCCCCCCCCCCTTCCTCTGTCTTTGATCCAGCTCAGGTGTGTTAATGGTCGGACCCCCCCCTCTCAGGTGTGTTAATGATCTACCCCTCCCCCTCAGGTGTCTAAGCCCCAGGCTCCGGACGCCACCCACTTCTCGTGGTGTCCTGACGGGGAACACGTGATCACGTCCACCTGCTCTCCCCGGCTGAGGGTCGGGAACCGGTTCCAGGTGTGGCACTACGGGGGGGCCGTGGTTCACAAACAGGAAGTGGCTGCGGGCACGGAGCTGTGGGAGGTCCGCTGGCAGAACCTTCCTCCAGGTAGCTTCCCCCAGAGGGCTGTCAGGTACCAGCAGGAGGCCGGACCCCTGGGGAGCACCCAGCCCCCCCCCAACTCAGGCATACCGTCCCCCCGCATTGAGACACCTGCCCCCCGCTGAGAGGGCCCGACTGGTGAGGAACCATCATGTTCTGTTTTGATCAGATCATCTTCTGGTAATAATGATGTTTCTTCTCTCAGCACGAGGAGGAACCTGCTCAGAACCTCCGACCCGGAGACAAGAGTCTCTCTAAAGCGGCTCTGAAGAACCAGAAAAAGAGGGAAAACAAGAAGGCCGCCAAACAGGTGAGCAGCCAATCACAGGATGATGGTAGTGTAGTTCCTTTATAGCCCAACATTAGCCTCCTTTAGCTTAGCGGTGGTGACGTGAAGTCATGTGACCGTGCTGTAGTTCCTTTATAGCCCAACATTAGCCGCCTTTAGCTTAGCGGTGGTGACGTGAAGTCATGTGACCGTGCTGTAGTTCCTTTATAGCCCAACATTAGCCACCTTTAGCTTAGCGGTGGTGACGTGAAGTCATGTGACCGTGCTGTAGTTCCTTTATAGCCCAACATTAGCCACCTATAGCTTAGCGGTGGTGACGTGAAGTCATGTGACCGTGCTGTAGCCAACATTAGCCTCCTTTAGCTTAGCGGTGGTGACGTGAAGTCATGTGACCGTGCTGTAGTTCCTTTATAGCCCAACATTAGCCACCTTTAGCTTAGCGGTGGTGACGTGAAGTCATGTGACCGTCAGGGCTCGACATCAAGGACTGCCCGGTGGCCCGGGGCCATCTAGTATTTAGCTCGGGCAATGAAGCCTCACCTGCTGGTTGCCCGATCGGGCAATCTATTATGCCAGTATCATGCAGCTCGTGGATCCAGTAATGAGTGACCCGACAGTAAAACTAAACATATCTATAACTAGTTACGGTAGTTTGCGAGGCAATTAAAATAGCTACGTGTGATATTCTAACCTGAAGTGTGTTTTGTCCGCTCACCTCTGCATGTGATCATGCAGAGCTGCATGTCGACTCGTCAGCTGATCTCTCTCTCCCGTCAGATTAGACTTCACTCGCGTTTATGTCCATATCGATCAGATCCAGCTAGTTCTAGCTAATGATATGACTACCTGCTTATTAAAAGACACCTAAACAATAAGCGTTGCTATGCAACCGGGTGAGGCCACAAAGTATAGCGCAGCATTATGCATTTGTTTACATGCCCACCGGAACCCCGAGGCATTACCAACAGATCACCGCACAATCAACCCATCCAGGACATCTCTTTCTCCACATTAAGTGTTAGACATTATAATTGACTCTTCTTGTCTGTCACATACTCTTCTTGTCTGTCACATAAGTGGCGCAACTGAAGCGGTATTGCGCTAAAGGGAAATTATTTTGACCGAAGAGATTTAGATTTGCCGGCTAACGGGAACCCTGTGCTGCGCGGATGCGCTCGGCTCCTCTCGACTGCTGCTCGGGTCTGCTCGGTCAGCTTCCGGATGAGGAGGCATTCGTTCGACCAACTTACAGTAGATAACATTACGAACATTTTTATTTTTAACAGGGGCCATACTAGTGTAAATAATGTTTGTTTTGGCAGTTATAACTGAATGTAATGTTTTCTACTTGTTTCCATCTGGGAAGGCATTTGCCTTCATCAGATGGAAAGTGTCTTGACCAACAACTTAAGTATTTCTTATAGCTATGCAGGGCATGCAAGCGAGCAAACACAAACAAGAACAAACAAACAAGTGAAATGAAGAATACAATTGAAATTGTACAATATAATATTGTTCATCTTATAATTCAGTCTAGAGAATGCACCAGACAGCATCTAAGACCTGCAAAAATCTAAATGTTCTAGGGGGACGGAGGCCCCCCAAACCATTCGTGCCATTTTGTCCGCGCGCATTTTTCAGGGCAATCTCTATTGGGCTCAGGGCCATCTGTAAATTAGCTTAGATGGCCCGCACTGGACCGTGCTGTAGTTCCCTTATAGCCCAACATTAGCCACCTTTAGCTTAGCGGTGGTGACGTGAAGTCATGTGACCGTGCTGTAGTTCCCTTATAGCCCAACATTAGCCTCCTTTAGCTTAGCGGTGGTGACGTGAAGTCATGTGACCGTGCTGTAGTTCCTTTATAGCCCAACATTAGCCTCCTTTAGCTTAGCGGTAGTGACGTGAAGTCATGTGACCGTGCTGTAGTTCCCTTATAGCCCAACATTAGCCACCTTTAGCTTAGCGGTGGTGACGTGAAGTCATGTGACCGTGCTGTAGTTCCTTTATAGCCCAACATTAGCCTCCTTTAGCTTAGCGGTGGTGACGTGAAGTCATGTGACCGTGCTGTAGTTCCTTTATAGCCCAACTTTAGCCACCTTTAGCTTAGCGGTGGTGACGTGAAGTCATGTGACCGTGCTGTAGTTCCTTTATAGCCCAACTTTAGCCACCTTTAGCTTAGCGGTGGTGACGTGAAGTCATGTGACCGTGCTGTAGTTCCTTTATAGCCCAACATTAGCCTCCTTTAGCTTAGCGGTGGTGACGTAAAGTCATGTGACCGTGCTGTAGTTCCTTTATAGCCCAACATTAGCCTCCTTTATCTTAGCGGTGGTGAAGTCATGTGACCGTGCTGTAGTTCCTTTATAGCCCAACATTAGCCTCCTTTAGCTTAGCGGTGGTGATGTGAAGTCATGTGACCGTGCTGTAGTTCTTTATAGTCCAACATTAGCCACCTTTAGCTTAGCGGTGGTGACGTGAAGTCATGTGACCGTGCTGTAGTTCCTTTATAGCCCAACATTAGCTGTCTTTAGCATAGCAGTGGTGACGTGAAGTCATGTGACCATGCTGTAGTTCTTTATAGTCCAACATTAGCCACCTTTAGCTTAGCGATGGTGACGTGAAGTCATGTGACCGTGCTGTAGTTGCTTTATAGCCCAACATTAGCCTCTTTTAGCTTAGCAGTGGTGACGTGAAGTCATGTGACCGTGCTGTAGTTCCTTTATAGCCCAACATTAGCTGTCTTTAGCATAGCGGTGGTGATGTGAAGTCATGTGACCGTGCTGTAGTTCTTTATAGTCCAACATTAGCCACCTTTAGCTTAGCGGTGGTGACGTGAAGTCATGTGACCGTGCTGTAGTTCCTTTATAGCCCAACATTAGCTGTCTTTAGCATAGCAGTGGTGACGTGAAGTCATGTGACCATGCTGTAGTTCTTTATAGTCCAACATTAGCCACCTTTAGCTTAGCGGTGGTGACGTGAAGTCATGTGACCGTGCTGTAGTTGCTTTATAGCCCAACATTAGCCTCTTTTAGCTTAGCAGTGGTGACGTGAAGTCATGTGACCGTGCTGTAGTTCCTTTATAGCCCAACATTAGCTGTCTTTAGCATAGCGGTGGTGACGTGAAGTCATGTGACCGTGCTGTAGTTCCTTTATAGCCCAATATTAGCCACCTTTAGCTTAGCGGTGGTGAAGTCATGTGACCGTGCTGTAGTTCCTTTATAGCCCAACATTGGCCACCTTTAGCTTAGCGGTGGTGAAGTCCTGTGACCGTGCTGTAGTTCCTTTATAGGAATATATATTATTTTATAATTTCTTATAATTCTGCAGGAGGTGAAAACTGACCCTCCGTCTGACCCCGCCCCCGTCAGCAACAACCAATCAGAGACGAGCATCGGAGAAACCGAGACCGACAAGAAGATCAAGAACTTAAAAAAGGTGAAGAAGAGATGAAGTTTATAACTATCAACATTGAGTGTGTTCTGAGCTGTGATTGGTTGCTGTGTTCTGAGCTGTGATTGGCCGCTGTGTTCTGAGCTGTGATTGGTCGTTACAGAAGCTGAAAGCGATCGAGGAGCTGAAGGAGCAGCAAACGTCTGGGAAAGTTCTCCAGAAGAACCAGGTGAGCCTCACTCTTTTATATAAAACATGTTATTAATGTTTATATATATGAATGTTCCCATGTAAGATGTATGAACCAGACATCAAATGTCCAATAAACTAAAGTAGTAACTGTGTGTATGACTTTACAGATGTTTAATAATATGTGAATCTGATGGATTGTTTGTTTCGTTCAGCTGGAGAAGCTTCAAAAGGAGGATCAGCTGCTGCAGGAGCTGAAGGAGCTGCAGATCAGCCTTTAGACAAACACACAAACACACACACATTCACTCACACACACGCACACACACACACACTCATTCACTCACACACACGCACATACACACACACTCACTCACTCACTCACACACACGCACACACACACACTCACTCATTCACTCTCACACACGCACACACACACTCACTCATTCACTCACACACATGCACACACACACACACACTCACACACACACACACACACACTCTCACACACACACACACACACACACACACACACACACTCACTCATTCACTCACACATTCACTCACACACATGCACACACACACACTCACTCATTCACACACACGCACGCACACTCACTCACTCACACACACACACACACACACACACACACACACACACACTCACTCTCACACTTACACACACACGCACCAAAGAGAAAGTGTGTAAGAGACATTTTTGGGAGGACGGGTGAGGGGGCGGCTTTTGTTCACAGGTGTGTGTCCCTCACCACACACCCAGACACACACACCGTTTCCTGCTTCCTGTTTTCATCCAGCTGTTTATCGCTGAAGGATTGGACTCATTCTTCTTCTGTGTTTGGAGGCTGCTGCAAGGCATTCTGGGAAATGTAGTTGTGTGTGTTAATGAAATAAGATGAAATCACTGCAGAGTAGAAAAAAACTCTCAGACCGAAAACGGATTATTTCCCAAAATGGTGTGTGTGAGTGTGTGTGTGTGTGTGTGTGTGTGTGTGTGTGTGTGTGTGTGTGTGTGTGTGTGTGTGTGTGTGTGTGTGTGTGTGTGTGTGTGTGTGTGTGTGTGTGTGTGTGTGTGTGTGTGTGTGTGTGTGTGTGTGTGTGTGTGTGTGTGTGTGTGTGTGTGTGTGTGTGTGTGTGTGTGTGTGTGTGTGTGTGTGTGTGTGTGTGTGTGTGTGTGTGTGTGTGTGTGTGTGTGTGAGAAGCCCTGTTGCTATGCAACTTCTGTACAGATGCTGAAGCCGTTGTTCCTTTCAGAATAAAAGCCTGAATCCAGTTGTTCCTGTGTTGACCTGTTCTCACTGTGGGTTCACCGTCCTTTAGACATGAATTCAGGGTTCGAGTTATGTGGGAGCCAATGGGAGCTGAGCTCCCATAAGGAGGGGTCTGAGCTCTCATAAGGAGGGGTCTGAGCTCCCATAAGGAGGGGTCTGAGCTGCCATGGACGCAGTGAAATCATACATCTGTGGGGGTCGCTAAAACATTATTAGCAACCATTATTTAAATAATGCATGTGTCAATGTAATGGGTATTATTTACGTTAACGAGGTAAATAGGCTAAAAGAAAAAAACATTTTCCAAAAGAACTACGCATCTCTTGAATGACAATATGCCTGCGCTGCACCTCCAAGGTGTGTGTGTGTTAGTTTTAAAGACCCCCATAGAGCTCAGTTTATAACCCTGCATAAAGTGACATGATGACGTCTTAATGAATAAATATTACATTTAATGATCAGTTTATCTTCACTTTACTACAGCTCAATCATTTTAGTATTCATCTTAAAAAACAGCACTTTAGTTACAAATCATAATGTTTATAGATCAATTAGAGATGATCAGCTGTTGATTGAGATGCAGTCAAATGTAAAAAAATATAGATTTTACATTTGTGAATAATTTTTGAATGAATCACACTTTTAAAACTGCCGGTGAGCTGATCTAACTCCGCCCCTTTGAGGGGAGCCGGTGAGCAGATCTAATCTCGCCCCGCTGAGAGGAGCCGGTTAGCTGATCTAACCCCGCCCCGCTGAGAGGAGCTGGTGAGCAGATCTAGCCCTGGTGAGAGGAGCCGGTGAATATATCTAACCCCGCCCCCCTGAGAGGAGTCGGTGAGCAGATTATCTAGCCCCACTGAGAGGAGCCGGTGAATAGATCTAACCCCGCCCCCCTGAGAGGAGCCGGTGAATATATCTAACCTCGCCCCCCTGAGAGGAGCCGGTGGGCAGATCTACAGCTGAAGCCTCGCGCTTTCTTTAACTCTCAGCTCATGTTGTTTGTTTGTTTATCTATCACATTGTTTACTGTAGTTCAAACCGTTAGAGAACTACAACCGGGAGGCTTCATAACGCGGAGCAGCGCGTGAGAGGGAACACGTGCTCCCTGCAGGTAAGCTAACAGCTACAGCTAATAAACAACTGTAGATTCAGAAAGTACCCGGATCAGCCTACTGAGCATGCGCAGTGGAGTTCCGCTCTGTCAGTCAGTAATTTAATTTAAATATCCTGTCTTTTTATATTTAAATATGAATACTACTGTTCTGAAGTACTTACCATACTGATACTCTGTACACACTGTGAAGTCCACTGAGACTAATTTAACATTTGCGATATTGGGCTATATAAATAAACATTGATTGATAAAGACCCCCAAGCCAGTATTTGTATTTACCTGCAAACATTCTCGTGCACTGTTTGATCAGCTTGATCAGCTTCATGTCCTTTCTATATTCATGTTGCTCTGTTGGAGGAGCCTCCAGTGTCTCCTCTGTAGATGCTACATGGTGAGAGACCCTATGTGAGAGACACTTGAAACTTGAGTTATTGCTGATTAACCCAACTTACTGTAACTGTGTAAATGTCCCATCCTCTGCAGGTGAGCTCCTCCAGGTGAGCTAGAGACTCTGCTGGACATCTCCATCACTCTGGGGTCTCAACCTCTCCGGGACCAGGACTCCATGATGGACCATAAAGCCTCCGTACCTGCACAGACTGAGGGGATGGAGCAGGGCCCCCCTCAGGTGCTGGAGATCAGTGACTCCGCCCCCCCTCAGGTGCTGGGGGTCAGTGACTCCGCCCCCCCTCATGTGGTGGGGGTCAGCAGGTGTGACTCCGCCCCCCTGCTGTGGAGAGATCAGGACCTGAAGGCAGTGAGGGGGCGGGGCCTGGTGGGGGCGCTGTTAGGAGCCCTGCCTCGGACCCCCCGACAGAACGGGAGGCTGGGGAGACCCCTGCTGCTGCTGCCAGAGGAGGAGCGGCTGCTAACAGAGCTACATGCTACAGCTAATGCTAACCAGGTGAGTGTACCTGTACACAACACACACCAGCAGGTAAACTCACCTGGTTAAACTCACCTGGTTAACAGCAGGTAACCAGGTGAGTTTACCTGCTGCTAACCAGGTGTGTGTGTTGTGTTGTGTGCACCCAGGGTGGAGGGGGGGTGCAGCTCAGTCTGCAGGTGAAGCAGCACCTGGAGGAGCAGGAGAGGAGCTTGGAGGAGCAGAGAGTCCTCGCTCTGCAGGACAGGAAGTCAGCGCTGCTGCACGCCATGACATCATCACACACAGGTGAGAGCAGTGACATCATCACACACAGGTGAGAGCAGTGACATCACACACAGGTGAGAGCAGTGATATCACACACAGGTGAGAGCTGTGACATCACACACACAGGTGAGAGCAGTGACATCATCACACAGGTGAGAGCAGTGACATCACACACACAGGTGAGAGCAGTGACATCACACACAGGTGAGAGCAGTGACATCACACACACAGGTGAGAGCAGTGACATCACACACAGGTGAGAGCAGTGATATCACACACAGGTGAGAGCTGTGACATCACACACACAGGTGAGAGCAGTGACATCACACACAGGTGAGAGCAGTGACATCACACACACAGGTGAGAGCAGTGACATCACACACAGGTGAGAGCAGTGACATCACACACACAGGTGAGAGCAGTGACATCACACACAGGTGAGAGCAGTGACATCACACACAGGTGAGAGCAGTGACATCACACACAGGTGAGAGCAGTGACATCACACACAGGTGAGAGCAGTGACATCACACACAGGTGAGAGCAGTGACATCACACACACAGGTGAGAGCAGTGACATCACACACAGGTGAGAGCAGTGACATCACACACACAGGTGAGAGCAGTGACATCACACACACAGGTGAGAGCAGTGACATCATACACACAGGTGAGAGCAGTGACATCACACACAGGTGAGAGCAGTGACATCACACACAGGTGAGAGCAGTGACATCACACACAGGTGAGAGTAGTGACATCACACACAGGTGAGAGCAGTGTCGGGCTGAGGTACGTCTGACTTAGTGGTTCAATGCATCGAGTGCACCAAGCCTGACTGGTCACTCCTCCCCCTCAGGTTCTTTGGGCCCCTCAGAGGCCCTGCGCGGCCGCCTGGAGGCCCTGCACCGCAGCTTTACCTTCCCCCGGGGGGCGATGGCAGTACAGCTGAGCACGGCAAGGGCGGGGCTTCATCACTGCCATGAAGACCGGGCCTTCCTCAGGGCCCAGCAGCCAATCACAGCGCAGCACGACTCCAAAGCCGCCGCCAGGTACCAGGTGTTCAGAGACCTGAGGGGGCAGGGCTTCTACCTGACATCAGCCGGGAAGTTCGGAGGAGACTTCCTGGTTTACCCAGGTGAGAGGGGGCGGGACAAATACACACAAAATACAAGAGAGTGTTTAGAAGTGAAGACAAAACAACAACAACAACAACAACAACAACAACACCACCAGAACCATCTGAGTTCTACACCATGTTCTTCATACCATGACCTCTTAACCAATAAAAACCCTCACAGACCACCTGACTCCTAAATATCAGAACCAAGCGGCCTGCTCAGCGCTCCAACACATAACAGCTCCAACAGCAACACATTACAGCTCCAACAACAACACATAACAGCTCCAACAGCAACACATTACAGCTCCAACAACAACACATTACAGCTCCAACAGCAACACATAACAGCTCCAACAGCAACACATAACACTACAACAGAACACAACCACATAACGAGCTTCCAACAGCAACACATTACAGCTCCAACAGCAACACATAACAGCTCCAACAACAACACATAACAGCTCCAACAACAACACATTACAGCTCCAACAACAACACATTACAGCTCCAACAGCAACACATTACAGCTCCAACAACAACACATAACAGCTCCAACAACAACACATTACAGCTCCAACAACAACACATAACAGCTCCAACAGCAACACATAACAGCTCCAACAACAACACATAACAGCTCCAACAACAACACATTACAGCTCCAACAGCAACACATTACAGCTCCAACAACAACACATAAACA